GCCAGGAACCCGACCACAAGCACCCAGCCTGGGAGACAAATGAAAAGCACTGGGAGACAAATGAAAAGAAGTGGGAGACAAATGAAAGCAAGTGGGAGACAAGCCAGCCGGGAACCCGACCACAAGCAACAGCCTGGGAGACAAATGAAAAGAAATGGGAGACAAATGAAAAGAACTGGGAGACAAATGAAAGCAAGTTGGAGACAAGCCAGCCGGGAACCCGACCAGACCATCCAGCACCAAGGCGACCATTCTGTAAAGCATTGAGAACCCCTAACAGTAAACTGTTTGGGGAAAAAACTGTTCCATATCCAGATGACCAAAGCCATTTAAAGCTGTTCTTGGAACCTCCCGGCAAACACCCGAACACTCCCTGCTCCACCCACCCACCCGAACACTCCCCGCCAGTGCATAGACGGTGCTGCGTGCGTTGGGGCCCACCACGTGCTGAGCGTCGGGCGGGCAGTTCAGAGCAGCACTGATCAATCCCTCGAAACTCGAAGGTGCTTGGGGTAGGTTTTGGGGGGTCTGTCCCTACCTTCGGTGGTTGGAGGCCCAAGGTAGGGGAATACCCAAGCGACGTGGTGCTGGGAGGTGACTCAGAGACGGAAAAGGATGGAGCTGTAGAGCATCCGGGCGATCAAGAACCACCGGCATACGTTGGGTTTGTAGACGTCAAGAAGACAGATCGGCCCCATTGCGCTAAGGAGGGCCGATATGTTAAGAGTAGTTATTACAAGAGTTATATTCTGGCAATTCTTATCCCAAAAACGACTTCGTGGCACTGGCATATTTACATACATTCCCCCCTTGAAACAACCACCTCAATTGATCGGTAAAAATGCCGGTCCCACTTGGAGGGACCAGTGGTGACCAGTCAGTCCTTTGCGAATGCTTAGCGCCAATGAAGAAAGTATATGTCAACTTGTTGCACAAAAATGATTGGTTGCTACGTCATCTATCACCTGAAGAAATCAACGGTGATTGTGGTAGAGTGTGGTAGAGTGAAAAAAGCGTGCAAGGACACTGTCAAACTTAATGTAATTATGCCTCAATCAACTGGGTGTGCATCCACTTCTCGCCTAGCTCCATCTATTGCTTGAGAGGGGCCCAGACCAAAACAAGTCCACCACACTGGCGTCAAATCACCCCATCCTCCCAGCAGCGAACTCCTGAGGTACGGACCAAGCGACCAGCCTTGAACTCGTACTCTTTGGTCACATCGCATTCTTTGCCCACCTCGTCAAACAGGCGGATGCTCTGCCCGTAGAAGGGGTCCCGATGCCCGATGCCGGTCGGTCGGTGTCCGTTCATCGAGCCGGTCCGACGCCCGGACGAGCCGGAGATCAGACACAACACCAAGAGGAGATCGGAAAAAGAGATCAGTCCGTTCGTGGCTCACACAGAATGCCAACCTAAAACAGGGATCATCTCCCCCCCAATCCCATAGGGTTGAAGGGCCCACATCAGTTGGTCTGTCCGAGATGTCCATCCAACGAAAACCGTCGGAATCGACGCTGGACCTGTCCACCAGTTTCTGGGCAACCTACTTAGGTCACCGGTCTCAGGGTTCACCAGTCTGGGCTGGCAGAACTTGAAACATGGCAGCCCGAACTCCTTCGGGAAATGATCAGGATGTCACTTGCAATTGTTCGGCATGCGGCATGTCATGATCGAGAGCGTCATGCGACCATGCAGAAGCCCTTAGCAACATGACCGTTGTCCGCACCACTTTGGGGCATGGAGTTTTGGACACGGAGCAGGTTCTGGTCCCATTGGGGATTCAGACCGTATGTGTCTGATACGGTCTGCTCAACACTTGATGGGCCGCACATGGCGAACTACCCAGTTGAGTCCATATGAAACCAAAACAGGAGCCATCATCAAGGCCCCCCAAAAGCTACCAAGATCCCGAACAAGTCTCCAGTTGAACATGCCAGTGGTGCTTTCTCTTTCTCCCTTGCCGACTCAACTCACGGGCGCCCCCGGCATTGCCGATGCAATAGCACACGATGAACCTCGGTGACCCGCCGAGGTTAACGCGTGGTGCCGCGTGACTCGGCGCGACTTGGTGCCGCGTGACTCGGCGCGACTTGGTGCCGCGTGACTCGGCGCGCTCGGGTCCTGCAGGATCCCGTCCTGTTTCCCAGACACGACTCATAGGATCGGCATATGTCTACATGCAGCCCAGGGAAACACTACCCATCAGCTGCATCGGTCAATATGCCAGTCCCACGGATGGTCTAGGATTGATCATTGTTGAACAGTGATGGTTGTAGCTTGATACTTGTCTGAATGGCATCAGTCAGTCATCTGCAATGGGATACAACATGCTGCGAGGTCTATTCCCCCTACCCAAAACCAGTAAGTGTTCTGTGTTTGGTTCCGCTTTCCATTGGACTCCCCTACAGCAGACCATTACAATCAACCAAACACAAACATCTTGAACATACCGTTTCCTGCAAACATTGTTACATGTAGGTTATTACAGGACTTTGCACTTGATGTGCACAGGGCATGACAATCCCAACTGGAAGGTGCAGGGCAGTATACATGTGGAGCTTGTTGAAGATAGACCTTCTCAAACATCCAAATTGAAGTGGCTGTCCTGTTATTTCCCTTTCTTTCCTCTCGTTCTTCCCTTAACCTCATACCTTCTGGCGCCACCCGCCGTAGGGCCCCGGCTGCCCGACCACCGGAAGGCTGATCCGTGCCAGGTTGAAGTCCCTGAGTGGGGAGTGGTGAGACAGCTGAGCACCGTTGGTGTGTGGGTGGTGAGGAGGTGAGGAGGTGGGGAGGTGGTTTGTACTACTGTATTCATATTGAAAGAATCTTGGGACAAGGAAGTTCGAACATCTCAGAACATGTTAATAGCATCTGGATCATTCTGGTATCATTCTGGATCCAGATGATGATATGCTCGCAGCTCGCAGATGGATCTATGATATAATTATGCCTTCATGTCGACTCAAGTTCGAGGTCTCAATGACCCAAGCGCTGACTCCCTCAGTTTCCTTTAGAACATAAAGGTGACCCCACCGACGTGATCGATGGATCCACGCACCCCCGACGCCGTTGTGCCGCCAGATGTGAAGAGTCGACGAGTCCTCCACCGTTGGTGGAACCTGTTGAACAAGAACTCTCAAAGTCCCACGTGGTTCACCAAACGCTACGAACAGGGGCTCCTGGCATCGCTACGCAACATAGCGAGCGGACGCTACGAACGGGGCGACCCTGGCCTTACTACTAGGAACAAGAAGCTACTATAGTTAAAAAGAAGAAACGGGACAGGTCGGTGTTCGAGGCCAAAGAGGTGAGCTCGTCCTTCTTCGACGAACACGAGCCTGGGCTGTGGGTCCAAACCCGGAGCCCGGTGGACCCCGGTGGAGCTCTTGTTTGGCGTGATCAACCTAGGTCCCCGTGGGTTTGGCCCACTGCCACTTCTATGGAGTGACTCTATAGAGATGTTTCAACAGCCTAAACATGCAAACAAAGCTTCGAAAAAATGCTTGACTACATCGGCCCTGCCAGGGTTACGAAAGGGATCCGGCTCCCCTGACCTACGTCAATGACGTTCTTCCACCAGCCCCCCACTCATCGCATCCGGCTTCCCTGGCTTGTTCAGGAAAAGCCGGCTCCACTGCGCCAGGTTATGCACCTGGAGAGAAGTGCAGCACATCAGGACCGAGATGGACAGATGAGGACAGAGGAAGAACCTGAACGAGCGTTTGTTGCGTCTCCGACTGGCCGGAGACGACCACAGCACTGCCAAACACCACGGAGTCTGCGCGAAGTCTTCTGAGTGCAGCAGGGGCAAGTTCCGAAGAAGGATCGGAAGAGGGGGGGAGAGAGGATCGGAAAGATCCGAGATAGGGAAGACGGAATCAAACACTCATTCACTAACTATATAAGTTTGAGTGTTTGATGGTCATTCACTGCTGGACTCATCAAACTAACATAAACTAACTATATAAGTGTTGTTTGTCATGGTCCAGCAGTTGAGAGATTTGGTGCTCACAGAATCGGTGCACACGAGGGCGTCGAGACTTCCCTTTTCCAAGGCTTGGCCGTCTGTGTGTCCTGAATGCATACCCTACTGGTCTTACGGACCTTACTGGATCCGGGAACATGCAAAAGCAGTACAGGACTCAATAAGGTGAAGGACCAGGTTGAACTTGGCCCTTGGGCTTGTATATATCTTAGAAGATTGCAGAAAGGGTGTGAAATCTGCCACTGAAAACAGCCTCCAAAAGGTGGAGGCGGTGTATTTGCGTGAAGCACATTATCCTATAATTACAGCGGTTTCAGAGTCGAGTGCACTGGCACCCCCTACTTGTCTCCTAGATGGGGGTCCACATAAACCACCAAACTTGGGCATTGTGCACATCTACTCTCCATCTCACTATTCAGAAGCATCGACCATGGCTGTCTGACCCTGGCTGTGCATCTACTCTGAACCCACCCGCCTGTGGGAATTGCTCTTCCAGGCGGTCCTGTCCACAAACCACGGGTGCTGTGAAGTAGTCCCTCGAGAAGGCAATGTGGTCCTGCGAGAAGGCGATGTGGTTCCGGTATTTGGAGAATCTGTGGCGCGGCTGTTTCTATTTGGGGCGTGGCGGCCACCCAGCTCAAGCTAGTGTTGATGTATTTGGCACTTCATTCCTAGAAAAGAATTCTTAACTAACAGCAATAGCAGTAGACAACTACAAGTAGATGAAAATGGTGCCTAAATGCCTTTGTTAGGGCTCAAAACCTCTCTGGAGGGTCCTGACTAGGGTCCTGGTATGTTGTGCTTTTGGGACGGTAAATCCCAAGGTTGAACCCTTTAACATGAATGGAGCGGAATGGGATGAGACTTCGACTAGTGCATCGACTGGGATCCCATCCCTGATGCAAGTGGGATCCCACCGAAGGGATCGATAGATACCACCCATTGTTGCTTTCCATGGTGACAGCTGGTGCTCACAGGTTGATACGGCTGGTGCTCACAGGTGCTGGTGCTCAGTAGAGCAGGTGCTCACAGGTGCATATCTTCCAATTCAAAGACACCCATGACATTTAGAGGATCTGCCAAGGTGCCCACTTTGAGGATCCGCTAGACACTTCTGACACCCCAAGATCCAGCCTTCTCTGAGAAACCGTTGCCCTCGACGTTCAAGACGCATTCCAAGCCGTTTGTGCAGTAGAATTGCTGACGGCGGTGCCCGGTGCCCAGGGGGGCAGTGCCAATGGGGCAGGGTTTCTCTCATGCGCGGCGCGCGGGCCAGGAGCGTTGAAGTGATGGATTTGCAGGTTGAAAGGGAAGTGGCAATATATGATGTCCCAAACATGAATTTGATCAACGTGTTTTTGGTCAGTGAAGCCGTGGATTTGGGATTGACAACGCCCTGAGCTCTTTCTTCAACAATTTTTGGCTGGGTACTGAATATTAGTGACCCTTCAGTGCACAGGTTCTTTGTTTGCAGAAGGGTTGTTTCTGAGCTGGACAGTGTTTGCAGGAGCTTTGGACAAGGGGCCTATAACTTGAAGAGGCTTTTGCTATGGCTTGTGCTGTGAACTGAATCACGAACTTGTTGCTGTAGTCGAATTTGTGTTTTCCTATTTTGGGATACTAGGAATCTGGGTTGTCATTGCATGACAAAGCAGCTGTTCAAAGTTCAGTGACACTGCAAGAAATCGATCTGGTGTTATTTAGGTTAGGGGTCACAAACATCCCGCCGGGTGTGGAGTCGCACGTGTAGTCGTGCAAATTTGATTCAAAAGTGCAAGCCCTCTCAGTACTTTTGCTTGTTCGATGATGTTTTTTGGGGGTCCCGGATCCTTTCATTGTTAAAGCCGAATCTGCCGAAACCCAAGCGCCAGCGCAAAATCCGTCGCCATTTTTGTCCCGGGCTGTCCTCAACTTTCATGCGTCCTGTCGCAAGTAGACTTGCGCAGCTTTTTTGCACAAGTTAGTACACGTGGTGTTTTCCCAATGCCACTGCCATCCGCGAATGTACACATCAATCTTTGGATTGAAGGATCCATCTGACTTTGTCAGCACGCTCGGTGGAATCGCTGCCTTGCACAGCTTCCAACAACTGACCTTTGCTGTGACAGCAGGCTCTGTGCAGAACTTTCATCTCGGGGCACAGTTTCAAGTACGCAGGTTTTCCCAGGCCCGGAGTCATGGGAAGGACCTGACGCATGAAGTCTGTCTTCTGGGTTCTAGCAAAACTCTCAGGAGGTGGCTTGCCAAAGGACCTGCTGTCAGTTCCAGTTCCACGCTTCAGTTCCCAGGCACATGGAACCATCGATCAAGCACGAACTGGTTCATCGCAAAATACCGCTCCAGGCAACTCAACGGGCTTTCCACTTTTGCTAACCGCAAAAGAAGTATGAGCCCTAAGGCGTCCATGACATCCACAGTCGGCATGATGCTCGTGTGCTGTGGATAAAACTTGGCCCACTTGGCCTGTAGATCATTGTAGATTTATATCTAGCCTTGTCCATATGAAATCTTCATCTGTTTCTCGGGCACGGAATGCGGCAAAGACACGGAAACAAAAATTTGTAAGCTTCCAACATGTATTACGCTCGCCCCGTGTGATATGCAATTGCACGTGTGTTCGACAGAGAAACTAAAATCGATGAAATCGATGACAATGCTATGAAACCGATGACAATGCTATGAAAAGGATGACAATGTTATGAAACCGATGACAATGCTATGAAACCGAAGATTACTTGTCGTGAAATCGATGACAATGTTCTCAGCATGACATCCACATCCTCATTCCATCACAACCCCCCCCCCCACCCCATTTTAATCACACGACTAATCGATGACAATGTTATGAAGCCGATGACAATGTTATGAAACCGATGACAATGTTATAAAAACGATGACAATGTTATGAAAACGATGACAATGTTATGAAAAGGATGACAATGTTATGAAACCGATGACAATGTTATGAAAACGATGACAATGTTATGAAAACGATGACGATGCTATGAAACCAAAGATAACCTTAGTATACTTCAAAAATTGCAGTAGTCACACGTTCGGTTTTACACCCGTAGGCACAAACATGTTGAGCAATAAAATGGAGCACAATGCCGTGACTATCAGTGACTAATTTGTTGTGGTCCAACCTGCAAATCGTCTTCCACCAGGGTGATTCCAGATGGACCCGGTTTCTCACGCTGAGAATGCTTGGATCCCAACACGGGTGCCCCTCTCTTTGGATGCAATGATCTACAGGAAGCAGCTGTTGCAAAGAGGAAACTGCATTATGAAAGATGATCAACATATAGCCGATATATATATATATATACAGGATAACCATGGATAACCCGAAAACGTCATGCACTTGAGAATTCTCTGGTCTCCCTGACCAAACATGTCTTGAAAAGTGGCTTGGCTCATCAGGCACTTCCCCCCAAGCAATCTGCAGCTAACTCCCGCCAACTCGCCTGCGTCTGTGGCTGTGGCCCCAAGGAACCAAAAATCACACGCACCCGGTTGTTGCCGCGGTCCTGCCGGATGCCATCAGATGCAAACGTTTGGAGAGTCTTGCAGCTTTCGCTTTGCGTCGTCCACACGAGGTCTTGAGGAGAGATTTGCAGCTCAGCAAGAGAAAGGCAGGAGCAGGTCATTCAAGTAGCTAGGAAACGTTGCTTGGAAAGCTGAAGCCACACATGCAGGGTAAAACGGTAAAATGCATGTTTTGCACTTTGCACTTTGCTAAAGCCTTTCTAAGGTCGCCCAGTGGCTTCACTGGTATGCACCTAATTCACTCAGGGTGGTAGATGGAGGAAAGCATATCGACTCGACTCGACGACTTGCAGATCGACTCCACAAGATGAATGGGACGTACCCCCCCGAAAATAGGACTCAATAGGGCTATCTGGCGCCTCGGCCAAGCGGCCACATGGTGGACAGAACCTCCACCAGTCGGCTGGCCACGTGGGTTTGTTGAATGATTTTGCAAGGCTGTTCCCCTATGTTTGGATACTAGTCCCAAGCGAGCCAAGTGCAAACTTAAGCCACATAAGTCAGTGCTCGAAGTGTGGTAGCACCAAATACAGGAACGCTGAACACAACCTGATCCACCTAGTGGATGAGCAAATTCGCGTAGTTTTAGCAGTAAGGCAGTGAGGTAGAGACGATCTACGATCTATGCCCGCTGGATGAAAAGGGCACTACAGGGCTAAGATAAGGGGAACCTAACAGAATCTCAAGCAATCCAAAAGAGCCACCGCATCCAGTAAAACAACGTTCTCTACCAACCCTGGTTTCCCATCGCCAAGGATTCATTGACCGTGGTTCGATTTCTCACCAACAAGGACCACAAACAAGTATTCATTGGTCAACAGCTTGAGATTGATCTCCTGGTCGCTTTGGGATACTCCGAATGGTTGACGTCTCAACGTCGGACGTCAACACACACGACCTTGAGGGGAAAATGTGAAAGAGTGTGCTTGGGGTGTTTGATGTGGAACTGACAGCTCAGCTCGGGACATTCCAGATCAATTTGAGCCACACACGCCCCGATCGATGAAGAATCATGAAGAATCTCCCACAGACCCTCAATCGCGGGGTCCCCAAAGAAGATGTTTCGGGTGGTGGCGCTTGCAGCCAGTTGGGAAGGCTCATCCTTGGGCGCGAGGATGGTGCGGTTTGGTTCGCGAGGATGGGTTGAACTGGAAGAAGAGCCCAAGAGATGATCCCGGTAGTTTTTGGGTGATGTAGACCCTTGATTTATGCAAACCCCCTCCATTTGGATTGAACAACCTCGTCATATGGGCAGTCTGCATTACCTACTTCGAAGTTGAAATTGATGTCCGTGTCTTCTTCCGCTTCAGGACGATGGTAACATCCCGTATCGGCCAAGGTGTTCGAAACATGCTTCAGATGTTTGGAGTCGCCCCGCTTCAAACACGACGATGCTTAGCTGTCCAAGAGTAGACGGCGTGCCTTTGCGTGTCTCAAAAGCAGGAACTGACTCCATCAATGCCCGGAGGGGTTTCCAAGAAGGTTCCAGGACTGGCAGCCAAATGCACCAAAATGTGGTGAGCCAGAGAGAGGCCTGTGGTTTTGATCCTTTCATTGGACGTAGACCTGCTTCTCGCTAGGAGTGACCCAAATTAACTATGATAAACATTGAGCATGTAACATGCCGAACTATCACATTCAAAAGAAGACATCCTTTACACCACATCTCAGAAGAATAATTGAGGTCTGAGTCTTTTCCATATCATATGCTGCATAGATCCATTCAAACACGGGGAATTTGTCACTCTCACCATCTCTACTAGTAACAAGTGCAGTACTACACTCCCTGAAACAATCATGGAAGTGGAACATAGGCCCCGGGAAGACCAATTGTCCTCTACAAGGGGGGTCTGCTCAGCTTCCATGATTGTTTCAGGGAGGGTAGTAACAAGAAGCTACTAGTAGCAAGGTGCATGACTACTAGTACGAGTATAACATTAACTGTACTAGTAATTAACATCTCTCACTCACCCAGTTCTTTTTCGGAAAAAAAGGGAAACACCAGCGAGCGAGTGCCACTGACGTCCAAGACACCATGGCACTCAACCAGCTGGCAAGCCGGTCTCCTGGGACCGTCTGTCCGTCCCGTCCACCTCTCCAACCCGACGTGACGGAGCGGCCAGGAGGGAGGTCTGGTTTGGCTGTCTGGTGCTGGGGAGCCCATTTTCCCGGTTGGTAAGAGATATCTCCCAGTGCATCCCAGGCAGTTCGCACTAAGTCTATGGAACCAGGGATTCGTTCGGTCTATGGTTTGAGTCGTTGGAACCACTGGTTAGCAGTGGAGTTACCAGCTATAGTGGTTTGCCTGGATGCCCTGGGTCTGGTATGAACATAGAAGGGCCTATGAAGGATCTCTGGACCATGGAGGACAGAAATCAGGAGTGCTCTAGTTTGGCTCACCTCTTGTCGACCAGAGTTGGTGAAAACCAAGCCCTGAAAGAATCATGGAAGTGGAGTGAAAACCAACTGTTTGGTGGTGAACATTTCAACGAATGGTTTCAATGGGTCATCCGAAAATCGGAGCAATGCCATCCACGTTAGGGATTGTATAACCCACCGACCGACCTGAGGCTTTCTGAAGGGTCCTGACCCATCAAACGCCCTACTTTTGCAGTGGAGTTGTCGCTGACCCATCCAAATGGATGGCCTTGGTACACAGAGTGGCCTTCATGATCACCCAGGTGGCAGCATCACTGGGTTCCAGCTAATAGAGGGGCTTGTCCAAGGTGGTAAGTAGGGGAGCAGCCCAACTCGGAACGAACGCATGTGAGGAGGTGATCTGCGTTCGGTTCCCGTCGCTCTAACTGTTTGACGAACGCTGGGCTGCACCACCACGTTCCTTGGTCCATCCGAGACCTTAGACTGTTCCATCCAAAAAAAAGACAGTGGAACGACCATTCTATTCTATCGCATCGGGGCACGCGGGCGCACCTACCGTATTCTGCCGGTCTGGCTCAAAAGGGATCTATCCTGGACCCTTCAACAAAAAGAGGTCTGCGCTCTTCGTAACTTGGCCCACTTCAATCAATCCCTCAGACTCTCAATATCTCCCAATTGTTCCCAATTCAATACTGCAACTGCGCCAATTCAACCACCCTTCTTTGCCTTTAGTTCTATTCCTGGGCCACCCCGACCAAAGTAGCCCGCACGAGGCTTCTCTGCCTCTTGCAAGGCCTGCGCAGGTGGGTCAGCACCGGAAGAGCGGGCCGCTCACCGAGGCTTCGTCCCGAGCGTCCGGCTTAGAACCTCTGCCGAACGCGATCGCCGGGCCCATCCAAAAGATGCTCTCCCATCGTCCGGCTATGGCTTGCTCCAAGTCGTCATGGCGTCTGTCCTTGAAAGAACATCAACTCCATGACATCCACTCATTAGAATGCGGCCAACGGCCATCCTCCAACACCCGGCACCTCAGTGGTGAGTGCTTGCCCTGCGATGACGTAGAAGTTCCCCAGCCTCAGCCGCAATGCTTGCTGCGACAGCTCTGTGACCAGTTCAGAATTCATTTCTCAGGGCTGACTTGGAGAAAGCATGTTTGGGACTCTTAATGGAGGTGGTGGTGTTGGTGAGGAGATAAAGTATGGCATACATACAGTAATGTCATCTGGACGTGCTCGATCTTTTTGTGGAAGGTCTAGATTCATGAACACTCACTGCCTTGAACAGCTCAATGCTATTGAATTGGTTCTGTCAAAGCTCGGCAGAAACTCCCAAACCAAAGCAGTCCTCTGATGGCAGCCTTTTCCATCTGTTCCTTCCTTTCTCTGGCGAAAAACACTTGCAAAATCCCTGCCAATACCGATGGCAGAACATAGTAGAACAAGTCAACTGGCCAACCAACCAACCAACCAACCAACCAAAAGCAACCAACCATCACACCAAACCAAACCAAACGAGCCCAAACTGCCCAATCAACGAGGAGACCAACCCACCAACCAATCCCTGTACCGCCCTCGAAACGTCATGGACAGGCCACAACAGCACCTTCTGAGACCGGACGCCACCGGCGGTTTGCTGGCGAAGGGGCAAATCCTTGGCATGCTCCTTGATCAGCCGGTAAGCCTCACAGTTCAACGCGTTTGCGCGCAAACACCAGGAACCAACTGGATCCGGTTGTGAACATGAACGACCGGATCGGTTTGCTTGCTCCCAACGAAGTAGGCTACTGGCTAGACCATACGGCTGTGACATGTAAAGAAGGCTCGCAGTGAAAGGTGGAAGCTGAAAATGAGCCCTGCAGTTGAGGCTGTTTCGAAGGCCACGTGTCTTGTCTGGGTTGACACAAACGAAGGCTGAGCCTGCAAAGGGGTTTTGTTCACTAAAATTCAACTAAAATTGTCTTTTGGATGTGTACTTGAATGAACCACCACCCATTTCTCACCGTGTAAATGCAAAACGTCAATATATAATTGAGGTAAACCCCCGTGGCGGCGGCCCCTCCGTTCCTTTTGCAAGTGGGAGAATTCAAAAACAGTTTTGGCAAATCGGTCGCCTGCCTTCCTGGAATCTGATAGAGGTCGTTGGGAAGAAAATCCCAACTGCCGGCCCTTTTCTCTCTTCCTTTTCATGATGAACTTGTTCTTCACCTTTTTGGGCGGGGCCAGGGGAACAACTCAGGTGAAGAACATCCATCCGAACACCTGAATCGCTTCCGAAACGCACGGCCGCAGCCGCAGCCGCCCGTGACCCACCGAACGACCCCCTTGCGACTGGGTCGTTTCACGCTATTGGCCATGAGCCCGCCGCGGCCCTTCTCGCAGGTCGTGGAGGCGCCTCAGCGAAAGCGAAGTCTGAAGCGAAGTCGCTGCAGTGGATGGGATCTGATCTACGCGGCCATGGGATTTGGATCTCCATGGCCGAATGATGTGACTCCCATGGATTTGTTTACCACGCATGGATTCCCTGGCTTCACTTCCTGTGGCCTTCCCTTCATCTCCTACACCAGGATCTTAGACCTTTTCGAACGACAAAGGCCTTGAGGTCACAGGATGATCTGCGTTAAAGCCTGACACTGGCATCAGTGCCTGTCTGAGACACCTCTGGGCACAAAAAAAGAAATATATATATATATATTGCATCCACACTTGTCCATGGGATCTTCTACAAACGGCCGAACAACATGGTTGATTGACCGTGAAAATCAGCTGCTTGGAGCTCTGCCGCGGCTGTGAACCCATCGGAGCCGCTCTTCCAAATGAGCTTCGAATAGATCTTACATCACTTGGTCCACCGTTCCAACGGCGAACCCCCTCGACTTCAGGAGCCGAGGAGGCCCGGTCCAGCCCTGGATGTTTGTTCGATGATCCTGGCCATAATGTCAATGTCAAGGCCCCGCGCCAGATGAAAACACACGAGGAACACTAGAAAAGCTTGAAACACGAGATCTAAACCCTAGAATACCCTAGATCTACATACACCCTAATTATTTACAATTTATAATCCTATCAGTGATGAAAATGGAATCGGAAAACAAGCGCTTCAACTTTTTGAGATGTCCTCTCCACCAATTTCCCACTTCACACACCCGACCTCCAACGTTTACTTTTCTGCAGCTTGGAAACCGTTGAAGCGGTACCAGCGGTCGGCGTCCGCAGCAGAGGCACAGACCTAGGGGGAAAGTGCTTGGGGACAGCATCGAACACCAGGAACTACACCAGATTAGCCATAGTCCTGACACGAACCTCGGTAGGTGAAGGCGGGTGAATAGGAGGGTTTTGGGGTGGTCCCTTTGCAAGTATACGGCGGAACAGGATGGGCTGGGCAAGTGGGACAGATGGATGGCAGGGCGACAGGATGGGATGGAGTGACCGTCGGATCCTAAACTTGATCTCTCATACCCCATTAGGTACTGCAGGTATATGACTTGAGTTGATGGCAAACCGCGGTGGAGGACTGGTGTCCTGATTGAAATTCCACGCTTGCGTCCCTTTGTAATTAGTCGGAACCATACTGTAGCACTGTGGAACTTATATTAACTGTTCTTGTTCTCCTCAAAGCCTTACAAGATCAGTGTGAAGATGGCGGGTAATAGGCTCTCCAAGGATTCTTGCAGAGGCGTAGGGCATCAAAAGTCCCTGTCCCTTTGCAGGAACATGTCCACTTGATTCCACTTGTCTGCAGATCTCCTTTGTGGAGGAAACTCATGTTCCAGTCGTCCTTGATTGGCATTCATTCATAAATCACCATCCTCAGAGCCTCATGTCCAACTACTGTTTCTTGCTTGTCCCGCTACGGGGTCCCTCTGACTAGACATGAATCGCAGATAAGCTCATCACCAAACAAGACCCCAAGTACTTTTTTACGTTTATAATATCCGTCGTATCCGTGTACGAGGGTTCTTGCCATAGAGTTGGCTTTTGCTAGTTGATGCGAAGTCTGTCTTCCCTCACGAAAAGAGCCAAACCTTATAAAGCCCCTGGTTCCCGGAAGCTGCCTAGTTCCGGCCCAGGATGAATTCCAAGGGATCTGTTTCAGTTGCCCCCGAGGATGATTGACATGACCTGCCTTTCCTTTTAGTGAGGCAGTGTCTTGAAGGTCTTCGAAGCTTGGTTTGCTGGATCCATTGGTAGGTTTGCTAGCCTCTTTGGCCAAGTCTTCACACACCCCCAGCTGAGAAAATCGCTGTCCAACCGGGACAAAGTCAACATCTGGCCGCCAGTTTCGGGGGATTCACCCTGGATTCACTCAGATATAGGAACATCAATCCGCCAAACCTCCATATCACTCCAATCCGCAAAACCCGTCACCCGTCGCCGGGGGTCCGAACACCTCCGCAGCGCACGGCGAAGACCTCCCAGCCCTGCGGAGGCATCGGGGCAAGTGAGGTCGCCCGTGACTCCGTGAAGGCTCCAAACGGGAAAAAAAACAAGAACTGCGAACTGTGGCCATTTTCTGGGCCATGATGATGGGCATGATCCATGATGGACCATTTTCTGGGCCCATTTTCTAGGCACCATCCACGTAAGCATGCTGATTTCACGGAGTGTAAAGACCTGTAAGCCTTAAGCCACTGTAAGCTCGAAGATCAGGGTGTTCTACAGTGAGCAGCCGAGGAAAAAATTCCACGTGACCCACTTCTTCTGGGATGTTTATCCAATAGTTGAATAGTTGATGTTCAAAAAATATTATCGATTTCCCTTTGAACTTACCTTCTTCCTTCTGCCACCCCCTTCTCAGCAGGGTGGATCTTCACTTGACATTGGTACAATGATGTCATTGTATCTCAAGTACTGGCAAGTTACAAGTGAAGGATGTTGATGTCCCTGGGTCTAAACAAGCCAAGTAGCCCCTTGGATGTGTTCTTTCATGTTTTCACATCCGTAGGGTAGGCAACAGTTGCTTGAAAAGGATCAGGATGCTCATCAAAGGTTCTACCGCCGAAATCCGGATAGGACTGTGAGTCACTGAGTCGATAATGATGGAATTGGCATAAATCCAAGCACATGCAAGAATCAACAAAGCCATGTCACTCCCGGGATAAGATTCTACTGGAACTAGTTCTGACTACACTTGTGGGTCAGTATCCGGCAAGTCCAGCATCCCTTGGAAGTTGGCTGAGTTAAAGGTGCAGGTTGTGGGAGTTTGAATTTAACAGTCATCTGGATTTCATCACTCCTGTAGGCCACTTGCCCAACAATCCTGACTGAAGTCTGGTAGCTTCTTCCTCATGGCAGCGCCTGCGGAAGCAAAGAGGCAGCCAAGATGGAGCATCAGAAAACCATCACCAGCTGCACTGAATCCTTGCAGTGAGTGTTCTAGCAGGGTGCGACGGTCGACCCTCCTTAGAACAATGTTTACCTTCAAAACACCAGATATTTTTTGGTATCCTTTTCCCCTTAGCACAGTCCCTGGCTCATGATGATTGATTTATATCAGACATGAATCCACTAAGCACTTTGTCCAGACTCCCCGGAAATGATCCTGTGATTTGAAGCTGATTAAGAAGGAGTCAGTGCAGCTGGTGATGGTTTTCTGATGCTCCAGCTTGGCTGCCTCTTTGCTTCCGCAGGCGCTGCCATGAGGAAGACCTGCTGGATGACTACCGGACTTCAGTCAGGATTGTTGGGCAAGTGGCCCGAAGCATAGATGGAGGAGGATGCTTCGCAGAGGTGCTGACATCCTGATGATGTTTCAATCTTCAGTTCAAGTTTACATGTTGCATGCATTGTTCTTGTTCATTGCCACAGGCTCCCTTTTAAATGAGCCCACTACCAAGCGATGCCCGGGTCGGAACTGGTCCCGCCGCAGCAATCAGTAGAATCTTATCCCGGGAGTGACATGGCTTTGTTGATTCTTGCATGTGCTTGGATTTATGCCAATTCCATCATTATCGACTCAGTGACTCACAGTCTTATCCGGATTTCGGCGGTAGAACATTTGATGAACATCCTGATCCTTTTCAAGCAACTGTTGCCTATCCTACGGATGTGAAGAAACATGAAAGAACACATCCAAGGGGCTACTTGGCTTGTTTAGACCCAATGAGGGACATCAACATCCTTCACTTGTCATCTTGCCAGTACTTGAGCTACAATGACATCATTGTACCAATGTCAAGTGAAGATCCACCCTGCTGAGAAGGGGGTGGCAGAAGGAAGAAGGAAATCGATATTTTTGAACATCAACTATTCAACTATTGGATAATTAATCAACATCCCAGTTTTGGAGTCCAAGAGAAAGTCTTAGATACAGTTGGAGGGTCTCGATGTGTATATAATATTGATTCATAACCCCCCCAAAACATGTAATATAAAACCATATATGGGAGGTAGCTTTAACCAATCAAGAGTCTACATGATTGCGCCGAAAGAATTCAAAAACTGATTGGGGGTCGCAGAACCAATGGTTTGACACCCTGTGTGCTTGAGTGTGTCTGCAATGTGAGGGTCTATGAGTGGTTGGGTGGTCTAAATTGACAGGCTGCTCGTTCAAGTTTCCCGTTTTTGATTATGCTGGACGCCGCAGAAAAGAAAGTGCTGAAGCCCACAGGGTTCCTGATGTCTCATGTGAAAAGACAAGTCCAAATCCAAAGACCATCAAAAGAATCCAATGCAAAGCTCATGAAATGCATCAAAATGTTTCCTTCCACCATCTTCCACCCCATCAACTTACTTTCCAGGGGCCGAAGATCACGCAACTTGGTGGTCTAAGCCTTCACCATCGGACTTGACAATCCTCTTTTCTCCATCGGACTACATGCGCCGCGTTTAGTCTGCCCCAAACTGTACAAGGCGACCAACCGCGCGCGCGAGTACCGGCGCAGCGGGTTCGAGGGTGTCGACGCAGTCTGCAGCCTGGAAGTGGTTGGGCGCAGATCGCTTCGGGTTTGAATCCCTCTCTCTGACACCCTCTTTAACACAAGAAACATATGACATATGTTTATCCATCTGACAGGTCGGATGCAAAAGGCGAACCCTTCCTTTTCATCCTCACTATCATAAATACAGGAATGTGGACCATGGATGACCATGGTCTTTTCATGTCCTTTTCATGTCCAGTCCCCTGCTGGAAGTACCGAACGTCTCGGGAACTCCCGTTTGGTGTTCCCTCACGACGGCTGAGCTTCGAGTCTTCGGGGTGTCACTGCGAGTCTGCGAAGTCTTCGGGTGTCACAGATAGCTTCAGCTTGTTGCACACTACAGTGCATAGCTGGATAGACCTAAGAGTTGACCTAAGAGTAGACCTAAGATGACGTACCGCCGCCGATGGGCCAATCCTGCATGGCATCCAGGGGAAATCCCTTCCTGGAACAACCATCGCCCAAGAATTGAAAGCTACCAGGGACCAGAGGGCCAGCAACTACAAAAACGATCAAGCACATGTTGTTCTTTTTTCCGCCTGGCAGCATGTTCAAAAGGATGTTCTACAGGTAGGGCCAGGTAGGGCTCTCACAAAGTGCCAGTGCGTTCGTTACGATGTCCATCTTCTTCAGTCCTCAATCGTCCCACACCACACACCGTGAACTCTGGAGGTTTTGCCCCAGCTCCCCCCCCTCCTCTGAGCTGCCCGGCCTGCCGACGAGGACTCGCTTCGGCGCTTCGGGCCCTCAGACGTCGCATCCGCTCAGACCGGGAAGACGTCGAAGTCCATGACCTCCGGCGGTTGCGACCAGACCTGCCACCGGCACGGGTGCGAGAGGGGAGGTGGATCGGTGGAGTCCGTGGGAACAACGACATGTCTCATGGGCCATGGTCCATGGTGGTTCTTTTTGGATCAGGTGCTGTAGAGTTTTTCCCATCAGTGCTCAGCAAGAAGATGGTGTTAAGGCGGTCGTTCATCTTCCTCATCTTCCTCTTTGTTCAGAAGGCGCCTTCTTGGGAATGTCTGCGAGGTCATCCAAGGACAAAGGCTTCTTCAGGAAATCGAACTTACCATCAGCAAGCTTGCCATCTTCCTTGGCGCCCCAACACCCCATGACGGCTTTGAACTGGTGACACTGCAACTGTTTTGAATCACCCCGTGAGACAAACACCTGTGTTCAGCATTTTGTCTGTTCATGTTGGAGGGCTTTTCTGGATTTATTTTTGAGATGCAATCTCGAAACGCAGCTGACATTCCAACGTTCCAAAACCTGGATACAGCCTGGACTACAGGGGCAAACCTCCAAAAGTATAGTATGACCATGTCCTGTTGAATGTTTGAACACTTCCAAATCATATTCCTCCCTGAATGACTCGAATACCAAACACATGAAAAAACTGGAAACTCTCCAGTGGAGCCTGCTGCCACAAATTATGGATGGTTGATCAGGGCACTCAAAAATCCCAACGTTCTTCGCGGGGGAGATCTCCAAAAATGATCTCCAAAAAACCACGCTGTTTCTGCGACACCCCCCGAAAAAAAGGCGGCAAGGGGGTCGGGAGAGGCTGGACATCTTTCTTTCGAAGCCTCCTGTGACGCGCCTGTGACGCGCCTATTTGGCAAGTGCAAAGAGCCCTGGCAGTGCCGAGACTGGTGAGTTGCAAAGACTCCAAGAACGGTGGCCCTTTGGACATTCCCACTACAGGGGAGTGTCGCAGACGGATTGGGTTTCAAGAGATGGGACATTCCTGGGCTAAAGAAAAAGGCCTTTCACATGTCTTGCTCTCTCTACAGTGCCTCCTGACCTCTCTTGCAAAAACATGTTCTGATGGAAATTCCCACGAATCTACCCCGCTGCAGACTGTCGCTATCATGGACCCTGATCTAAAACAAAGAAAGGTCTTGCAACCCCCTGCGGCCGCTGCAACGTCCTCCCGCCAAGGCTCCACGCACGCCCGGTACAAGTTCTCCAAATCGTCGATCGCTGCAGTCACGTCCTCCTCGCTGGGCACGCCGCCCACCACGACGTGATAGAGCTGCACGGTCACGGTGACATGCTCCGCCGGGTGGCGCTGGGGTGACTGGACCTGGGATGGCGGAAGTTCCGCGTGCAACATTGATGTTATGCGTCTAGAAAAAAGCGATGTTCTTTTATGTGGATTGAGGTCAACGGTCTACACGAGACAGGCATTGATTTTTGTGCAGACTTGCAATATGCATGTATGTAAGAATGTGTTTGCCTTTACAATAACTACACCTGGAGTCTCAAAGAGCATCAGAAAATGGGTACAAGTATAATTACCTGGCGCTTATACGTTCATGTCCAATTGTCTAGGGCACTTTGGGGGCTCAGGCACAACTTGGTTGGTCCCCAATGCAGGAACACGATACAGCGAGAACATGGAACACAAGTGCACGGTAACTGAGGGCGTAGCCGAACGACGGTAGTAAAGCTCGTTGGAAGTGCGAAAGCATAGCAGCTATGTCAATTCAATCAATTACGAATTTGGAAACGTGGTGGTGTCATCAAGGGTTCAAACAAATGAGGAATCAGAGGTGTTGCGCTATACCTTGTGATAAATAGACCGCTCAGCTCATGTGCCGTATGACCAGCTGGAACTGTTAGCATCCACAGAGGTCTTCAAACTAACTAGCAGCCCCAAGCCTCCACTCTCAGAATACATGGAAGCATCAGGAACCGAGCACAACTCCGGCATCTGTTGAACCTCGTACCCCATCCGCAAACAACCCAAATGGCCATCCTCGATCACCAAAACGACCTCATCCCACTCAACTCCAAGCCACTGTCAAGCCGGGCCAAATGTCCACCTCGCTGCCCCGCGACACCCGCGCCGCACTGCTCTTCCCGCCGCGGCCGCGTGCGTGACCGCTGCGGCTGCGAGCGCGGCCATGGAACTTGTACGAGAGCATCTGGTAAGCGGACCTCGTTTCGCACGCTGTGCGAGAGCGTGGGGCAGCTGTGCTAAACGAGAATGAAATCCGTTTAAACGGGAATGTATCGCAACATGTCCATGGATGAAAACCGTCGGATTTATAGTTTAGGCAACTAGTTTAGGCAGTGGAACGGGAACTCAAAGCTGGAAAGAGATATCCGAAAGAAACCGAGCAGCTTGCTGCAGAGCATCTTGCACTGATTCAGCGTGTCCTTGGCTTCAGGAACCCGGAAAAAATAATTGACGTATTAATACGTATCAAATAGAAGGGGATTTGCAGGATTTACTGTACTGTACCCACAAGGAAGTAAGAATCGCCTTTCAGCACAACCAGGTCTCCCCCAGTTCATACTGCGACACCGTCGTCACCACCAGCTCGCCCGTTCCATTCCAGCTGACGCTGCTGAGGCCTCCTGTGACTCGCTTCGGCGCCTTGCACGCGTTCGGCGAACGCCACACGGAGGCCGTTCGACCAACCGACAACGCTCTCGCCGTAGAGAGAGAGAGAGAGAGCGGCTCCGTACAGATACCGGTGCTTGCAGCGGTTCTTCATTGAAGTGGGAAGGAACCATCAGGGTTGATGAGCCAAGCAAAAGCCCCGGAGGTTGCCCTGAGCAGGGATAGTAGGGGTCATTGATTTGACCAGTATGCAACTGAGTGGGGGCATCACCTCGGACGTTGGCTTTTTCAGCGAAGATCTGTGAAGTGATAGCCTCAAAACATCTAAACACTTCATAGGTTTGGAGTTTGTTCACCATTTCTGGTTCAAACATTGGAAATTGCTGGCAGTTGTTCATGAGTTGAACACTTCTGGGTGAGGGTGCAAGCTGGAGAGATGTTGGGTCATTTCAGATCATGAAGGATGGGAGTTCATCAAAACAAGTTGATAAAAACCGATCCATGTTTTAAATCAATTCTCGTTGGCATGTGAGGCCAAGAAACACGTTGAAAAACCATGCCAGCGAGATCTCATTCTCCGCTTGACTGGATCCCGGGATCCCGTCCAGTGAGCTCCACACACCCACCAGATTCACTTTCTCATGTCGTCGAACACCGACCTGTTCCGTGTCTTCTTTTTTTAACTAGTAGCGTCCTTGCCCCTAGTAGTAATTCCAGGAGCCCCGTTCGTAGCGTCCGATCGCTCCGTTCGTAGCAATGCCAGGAGCCCCGTTCGTAGCTTCTGGTTACGTTCGGAGCAAATAGAAACGCCCAGAAACACATAGGATTTGGATGGATTTGGAAGGCCCGGGCTCCTGCCATGAAAGCTCCGACCCCGGTAAGTAAATATTCCATATATTTTGTACCTGGACCATCCTGTCGGGGTGCCCTGTCTGGAAGCCCAACTAGGTAGTGTGGGGTATCTCAGCCAGGACACCCCGAGAGGATGGTCCTGGTACATGGATGATCATGGATTCTTTGCCCTGGTTTGACAATTCCAAAACCACCTTCGACCCAAAACCGCCTTTCGACCATGGTGAGATTCCTCTCTCTCACACCGCACCTGGCGCAAGGGCACCTGGATAGTCATCAGCACATTGAAGCCTTACTACGGCAAGTCGAACGAAGACATCAAGGTGCACAACACCACTTCCGAGCCAGGGCCCCAGGGCAGGGCCAGGGATGTTCGTTTAGGAGAGCCAGGGCCACAGAGCTTGAAGATGAGAAGGGCCATAGACCTTTTTGGTATTACGGTACACTCTGTAGTGCTACTAGTGTCCCCTGCATCGGAAATGTCTTCCGAATTCACTTGCATCAGCTTTTTGTCGGGAAACTGGTGGTGAAAGCAATGACATCTACCTCCATGAGCTCCTGTTATGCACTGCTCCATACAGCTCCTGGCCCAAATCTGCATGTGCCACTGCCACATGCCCCCCCCCTTCCACAGCGAGTTTGCACAGCCTGTTTGTTTCTTAAGTTTCCCCAAAAATCTTGGAACCAAATCATTTGTGCGAGAGCTTCTCCTCCAGAGAGGGGGAGGGAGCGGGCAAAAAAAGAAATACCATTGGCGACTTGGCACGTTTGGGCGACTTGGCTTGACCCTCTGCAAAAGATTCCGCCAGGAACGATTCACACCTTTCACACGCCGTTCGTCGTTTGCCTAGGAACGTTGACCCATCGCTGGGATCCCAATAACACTGGCCGTGGCCTTGCCGCGCGCCAAGGCCACTGCACGCTCGGCGTCCGTTTCACGCTGTTCACCACCCACCTCACAGGACACCGTTGAAATGAGGGAGGGAGGAGGGATGGAGGGATGGAGGGATGGAGGGATGGAGGGATGGAGGGATGGAGGGATGGAGGGA